GCTCATGCATGAATTGACTCGCCGACTCCCTCTCACCTCTCTCCCGCCCCTAATCCGGGACGATTTGTTCAAGCTTCAAGCAGCCGTATATTTAAGGCCGGTCCCGTCCACGGGCGTCGGCTGTCAGCAGCTTGACCAAGCGTGCAATGATCAGACCGCAGCATTTGAGTCGCTTTTGGAGCGCATCGTTGGCGCACACTGTCCCTCTTCCTCCTCATCCCTTTCTTTTGGTGGAACTTGTTCGTCGATGGCTGTGGCTTCCGCGGCCAGAATACCTCCAAGGCAAAGTAGCGGCAGCTCAGACGGTACAGTGGGCCGCTCCAATGTCGGCAGTAATGTCAATCCATATGCCGTAACACAAGGAGGAATGCCAGCAGGGACCAGCCTTTCCGCGGTGGTCCCCCTTCTTTTAGTGAGGGAGCGCAAGCTGACCGCATCGATATTCTCGTTACTTGTCATGGGTGCCTCCTCCTCATCATCTACCGTGCCCCTATCCTCTACTCCACTGAAGTGGGAGTATGTTTTGTCTCAGCTTCCTTCCTCATGGCTACGCGGAATTTGGCGCGGCGTGAATCACGTGCTAAAAGACTTGTTGCGTGTCAATTTCCTGGATATCGTCCGCCCACCCAGCAACCTCGTTTCACTCCTCCCTGCTTTCTTCGCCCTGGTACTTGAGCTTCTCGAGCGACATAAACGGCCTGACAAGTTTGGGCATGTGGGAGCTGCGCCACCAACGGGCATTTGGTGGCGGTTTGTGGCGAAAATCTTGAAGAAGGGCTACGAAGGGTGCCCAAGCAATTTGAAGGACGACAGCGTTACGCGCCGCTGCAGCTTGCCGAATACTGCGATGGAGGAGGAACAACGTGATTCTATACTTTCTCCGTCACTACTTCTATCCTTTTTCAAAGCGGCCTCCGCCTTTCTCTCTCTCTCCTCCACCATGCAGCTTCAAGAGACGCATTCTCTATGGTTAGAGCTAACTTTGAATTGGGGTGAGGACGAGACTCTTTCTCGGCGCATGCCTCGAGTGCATTGCGCTGTGCTCGATTTTTTGCGTGCGACACTGGAGGCCTTTATTTTGCGTCACATCCCCCTGAAGCAGCCTCTGGGAAGCAGGATAGATGCGACCATAATATCGGCAAGTACGGGTGACCCAAGTGAAAATGAGCTGGTAAACTGCCTGGGAAGATTGAAGCCTTTTCTTATTACAGACGACGGGATCCACGCTCGATGCGAGAGAAGTGATGTAGCGCCTTCACACCCACTTTGGCTGGAGAAGGAAGATGAGAGGGATGAGGAGGAAGTGCGAATCATTGGAGAATGGAAGAACGAAGAGTTATGTGAGGAGCAGCAATCGGCGATTGAGGCACATTTTGACGGCACAAGTCCGCCGCGGCGCAAATCGAGAGATCCCGCAGTGCCTCCGCCAACTGCCTCGTCCTTTTCGGAGGAGTCCAGCCACGTTGTCTCAAGAACAAATACAGACTCAGCCAGATCATGTATGCAACCCTTCACAATGATGTCGAAGCATTTGAAGGCACCCGTGAGCCTACGTCGGTCTCAGAAATCGGGAAGACCGCGTCGCCCGCCCAAGACAGGGCACGCGTCGGCAGAAAATCATTCATCCGATGCACGCTCTGATGTTGCTTTGTCTTCCTCATCATCATCTTTGATGGCGATAGCGGGAGCCTTGAAAACGGTCGGGAGAGAAGAAGATCCTTGTCTGGACAAAGATTTAGTTCCACAAAAGGAAGCTCAACAGGCGCATCGACATGAAAAGCGTGATCCTCGATATATCACGCAAGGATTTAGTCGATTCAGTCATAGAAAGTATTCCTCGCTGACGAATGCCCTTAACTCCTCAGATGCTGTCGCTACTTCTACCCCTGGTGAAAAGGATGCAGCTCCCCTGCAAGCAAGAGAAGGGTCATCGCATTACCCTCTGTCGCAACGATGCAACGTTCCTACTGGCATCGGGCCCCGACGTACGGACGACGACTTCGAAATTTTCCGACAACTAAAACATTTGACTACGAACGCCCCGCTGGTTGCAAGGGAGTTTCATCGACACGTCCTTAAGTGGAATGTGGCGGACCTGATGAACGATTCATTCTCTTCGGAGGCTTATCAGCAGCAGAAGCAAATGCTGCGACTGGACGAAGTTCCCTTAAGATACCGGGACTCTCATCACTACTTGGAGACATGGCAGCCGCTGCTGCTTGAGGAGACTCGCAGCGGACTAGGCAGGGACATGGAGGAAAGCCTGGCAGAGGCGAAGAGAGCTGCTAGGTCACAGAGTCACGATGAAAGGAAAGATCTCAGGAAAGAAAAATCGAACAGAGGGTGGAATGTTGCCCATCTTTTAGGTAACAAGAGTCACGGCAAGAAGAGGACTAAAGATGGTCAGTTTGCCGGAGAGATTATTCGCCTAAGTCTCCAGCATGCAGTAGAGGATTTGGAGGGAGATGGCCTCAGCACTTTGACATTCAGCATCCATGAAAATCGTCCCCTGGAGCGATTGCTTCGGTCAAGTGGTAGTGGGCAAGCAGTTTTTGTATTGTTTCCGACGAGAAGCAATTTGAAGGGTACCAGCAGTCTAGATGTGTGTATGGACAGTCACAAGGTGTTGGAGGAAGGAGAGGTGGTAGAAGACATTGTGAAAAAAGGGAGGGAGAATCGAAACACGTACGCCCAAGCGTACGACGGACACCAGAAAGTATCTGGGGCGCATGAGCAACACCTCTACAGTCCCTCTCACGAAGTCGCTATGAAATGTCATGCAATGGCCGTTCTGCTGTCCGCATCTGAGAATGGAGACGCTCTCGGTCGGAATGAGGACAAATATGTCTTTAAATTCCGCGTGGCTATTTCGCAAAAAGTGCCAGGAACAGGAGGGTTACATTTTAAACAGTTAAAAGTAGGCTCAGATTGGAGTGCTCTGGGCATCGGGGGACTGACGACAGCAGCGCGCGAGTTTGCTGCGCTTCGAGAGGTACTTGGCTTTCGGCTCGCTCCCCGTTTGCTCCAAGGGGGAAAAGAGTGTGAAAAAGGGACCAAGGAAGCTAGCGGTGCTGCCAAACGGAAGAATTTAATGAGACTGACTGTAGTAAGCGAGGTGGGCCTCAGGCAAATCTGGAGGGATATCGAAAAACGGTACGAAGCTGCGTCGAACCCAAGCGCATCACCCTTGGAAGTTGAGGAATTATCGGAGAGGATTCGTTCCCTGCGAAAAATTCGTGTCTCGCGAAGACTCTTGAGCGCTACAGATATAGGGCGGAAAGTGAAGTTTTTGAAGAAAAATCATAAAGGGTCTGACCTGGTCCGAGCTGCGTGCGGGCAAGTCTTGAAAGAATGGCGGGCACAAGTGAGGTTGGAATGTGCGTGCTACGACGGAGAAGTCACTCAATCAGTAAATGCGGTAGGCTTATCACAACAAGAAAGTAGCTCTCAAACTTATGAGGCAGGTACCGGCGACAGGGATCAGCAGAAAGAGAACGTTGGTGCTGGTAGCCCTAGAGATGTTGAGAGAGATGTTAGTCAAATTGGACCTTCCAAACCGCCACACGTCTCTCGAACTTCGCTAGCTACTGAGACAATTCACTGCCCCAGTCATGTGCCGCTAAAACTATGGAAGTCCCTTCAACAACAATTTAATGCACCACAACTTAAGGTACGTCATGTGTTTCTATCTGAACCTATTTTGTACGATGTGCATTTGCATATTCACGTCATGAATGGTTCGCATGAGATGGCCACTTTCTTACATGTTTTTCGTTTGCTCTCTTCTCCATCGTGCACTGCTTGACACGCCCTTTCCTGAAGGCCATTTCAGCTTCCTGCTTCATCAATGCCCAAGCTGTTCACCAAGGATGCGAAGTCACTTTGTTACAAGGGCCCCCAGGGACGGGAAAAACACGCTGCATTATGGGTCTGCTCTCGGCAATCATGCATTCTCGACCCACCAGCACCTATTATCCCTCCCATTCTGCCACTAATGTAAGGCCTGCCCTCCGTGTGGGCTACCGTCATCACCAACGTGAAGCGCGAATCTTGGTTTGTGCACCCAGTAATGGCGCGATCGATGAAATTACTATGCGACTACAACGAACGGGCTTGCTTAACGCTGAGGGACAGGTATTCAAGCCTACCTTGGTACGGCTGGGAGTTGTGGATCCGGATGCAGAAGAGGAAGTCAAAACAGTCTCGCTGGAGTCACAATTGGAGAGGGCATTGCTGACAAATTTTCAGAAGAAGGAGTATGATAAGGCTGATGCTGAGGTTTTGAGGCTGCAACGCGACGAAAGAGATGCCCGAGAGATTGCTTTAGATGCCAGAAAATGTAGGCTAGACCATGGCCTACATGGGCGAAATGAAGGGGAGGTCGAGGAAAGCGAATGGCTGCGCAAAGCTGAACAGCGACAAAGGATAAGTCGCAGCGAGCTGTATAGGGCCAAAAGACGGCGATGGGAGTGTTTGAAGGCTCTGGAGGCAGAGAAAAGCCGTATTCGCAACAATCTGATTCGGGATGCAAAAATTATTCTTTCCACTCTTTCTACGGCCGCCTCAAGCCAACTTGCTGAGGCCGTGACATCAACATCGCGAGGGTTTGGCACCGTCGTTATCGATGAGGCAGGACAGGCTGTCGAGCCCTCAACTCTCATTCCCTTGCGGTACGGCTGCCGTAACCTGATTCTTGTAGGTGACCCACGCCAGCTCCCTGCCACAGTCATGTCACCAGTGCTGCAGAAATACAAGTATGACCGCAGCTTATTCGAGCGCCTGGAAAAAGGTGGCCATCCTGTTCACCTTTTGCGTGTCCAATATCGCATGCGACCACCCATTTGTCGGTTTCCCTCCCAAGCATTTTATCATAATAAGCTTTCAAACGCACCCGCGTTGGAGGCGGCTGAAGAGGATGCGGATGGTGATCTTAAAAGGTACGATCGGGTACCTTATTTTGGAGCTTATCGAGTTTTTAATGTTTCCTCGGCCCGTGAGATAAAGCGAGGAAATGCAATCAGTAACATAGAAGAGGCAATATTTGCGGTTCAGCTCATTGCTAGGTTGCGCGTGGAATTTCCAGACCTGGTGGCGTTTAAGCACATGGCAGTCATAACACCCTATCGGGCCCAAGTTCGTTTAGTGGAAGAGCATCTGCGTGTAAGATTCGGAGAAGAAGGGTCGTCCTTAGCGGAAGTTAGCACGATCGACGGCTTTCAAGGGCGAGAGAAGGAGGTTATCATTTTTTCTTGTGTACGGGCCAATCCGCAGGGAGGAACGATTGGGTTCCTAGCTGACGAACGACGAATGAATGTGGGCTTGACGAGGGCACGGCGCTCTCTTTTCGTACTGTGCCATCGAGCTTCTCTGTGGACGGATCGAAGCTGGCGAGCTTTCATCGAAGATGCAGAGGAGCGACAGTCTTTAGTAGATACCGGTGGCCGGGACTTTGATCAGTTGGCATTGATGATGCTTCAGAGAATTAGCGGACATACAGTCGATTGCGCGCTACCCCAGGGACCACGGATACAAGGAAGTCATTCGAACAAAATGCTGAGACAAGGAGATAAAACAAGTGAGATCGGTACGACAACCATTGCATTGTCACCAAGTATAGACCCGCCGAGTCGCACCGCATGCGTCACTGGATCGGTCAACACCGTCTCGGGTGATGATCGTGCGGATGCGATTTTGAAAGGCTTGCTCACGCGCTGCGAAAGCATCCCACCATTATCGGAATCACAAGGCGGAGGGCTAAATACTATGCATGCATCTAGAAATGGAAGGAGAGAGAGTAAATATGACCCGGATACATTATCAACCAAAAATGATGATAGTGGTCACTCTCATTTTCGACCTGGCCAGTTGCAGCAGCAAATTTCTGCGCAAGATCTAGCGATGATTGAGGAACAGCAACGCAATCAGGAAGAGCGGAAATATGAAAAATGGAAGCAAGAAGGCGTAAGTAAAGAGACAGGTGCCGCTAGGTCGGCATCGGCGTCTGTCAATCCACAGCAGCTGGATACCATCTCAGATCCACGGAAGACAAAGCTTTCATCGCTGTCGTTACCGTCAAGGACAGTGTCAGCTGTTAGAGGAGCATATTCTCGCGCTGGTAGTGTGCATGGCGACATTAAATACAGCAAGTTTGAAGGCAAGGAAGGACTGGAAGGAGGAGGAGCAGCCGCCCTTTATGTGCCCCGTTCGATCGAGAAGCATAAGAGCTTTGCAAGAAGAGATCCCCATCTAAATCAGCGACTAGCCAGTAGCTCCCCAAAGCGTTCAAAGCCTACAGAGGAGCTAGTTCCGCTGGGTAAGAGCAAAAGGGGTAAAGCAGATACAGACACGACTAATGCACTTACTTCCTCGTCTACCGCCACATCTCATGGCCTCGGCGAACTCAACATCCGAAAGCAATCCGCGGATACCACATTTACTATTCCTCGGCGCCCAGACTATGTGCATTCTTCTGCTCGGACTGCTGCCATGTCATCATACGTCGCGGCTGAGGCAGTTGCACGGGGAAGACCTGCAGTGAACATATCAGGGGACAAAGCTAAGGGCGTTCCCCTGAAGAAATCACTTGAAGGAGTACATGGACCTGACACGGTATCCAAAAAGAAACGTCCTAGCGTCTCGATCTCTTCTCTTTTGAAGAATATGCCAGACGTCGTCTGATAGGGACGAAACTTTTGCATAGTACATTTAGCAGTGTAAAAATCAATATAGAGAGGGCCTGCCAGTAATATCTTTTGAAAATAATGTTGAATTAGCCTTTTTATGCTTCGTTAAATGCCTTTTGACGCGATAAGTTAATTCTCGGGAAAACGCCAACCACCACCCCTTATTAATTACACTGCTTTTCACATTCATTCGACCTCAACCCTATGCAACTTTCCATCCTCGTTTTAATTCTCGTCGTTCTTTTCTGCCAATTCTTTCAATTCTTCATTCTGAATAGCGGTCGCATAATAATCATTGTTACGTATTAAATGATTTCGCCATCGCTTCTCTGCTTCCCCACCGAGCACTTCCCGCTTTATCTTCGCGCACAACTCCTGCCAGTCATGCTCTACCTGCGGCTGAGGATCAAGCCCATTATATGTGCGTGCCCTCACTGCTATGTCCCATGCCGGCCTACGATCAAGCCTCCACATTTTTCTCTGCTGGGCCAAACTGCTCTTTCGATACGCCTCATAGAGCTGCAACCATCCACTTCGCGCTTTTGTATACAATACTTGGCCCTCCTTACTCTGAACCACCTGTTCCACAGCCTCTTCTGTCCTCCAGCACGATTTTTTCATCGACATTGCAGGAATTGGGGTAGATACCTCTGTCGACAGACGACCGGAAACGCAATCTTCTGTCGAAGCGGTCTTGGACTCTCCCTTCCCTATACCAGAAACTCCTCCGCTAGCATTGGTCGCTCCGTCAGGCGAAAAGTCATCTCCCGTGAATGTCGCAATCTTCTCCTGCAGCAGCCAAAAATCTTCCTTCACGCCTTTCCAGTATTGTTGGCTTTGTATTCTGAAAGCGGCCACCAATTTCCGCATTTTGCTCGCAGCTTTCTCCTTCCGTCGTCGAAAGACCCGCGCTTTTTCAGCGTTTGCCTCGTCGATTGCTCTCCGACGATAGGCTTGGATCAAGCGCAAGTCCAAGCTGTCTTCGTGCACCCACTCTGTGATCGAAATCTCGGCTTCTTTTCGGAAGTGCTGCTTCTTACCTGCTGCTCTCGGATCATCGAGCGTCGAGCGCCTTCGGTTATGATGGTACAGGTATTCCAGAGCCGCTTCCATCCCTCCAGCCACCAACTTAGTGCGCTCTTCTTTTTCCTCTTGGCTGAAGCCTTCCCCATCTTCCTTCCTGATCCCGACTCGCGGCGCCACACGATGACCTCGCAATTCTCCAACGACTCCCCGAGTCGGCTGACATACAAAGCGGTCACGATCTAAGCAGTGATCCAGAACCCTTAACAACTGCCAGAGTTCCGCAGCGGTGCGAACATGTTGCGCACGATAAGCAAACAGGTGAGACATGGCCACACGCGGGAGTTGAGTGCTTTGGTGCCCTTTGCTAGGATGTGAAACCCCTCGAGGAGGCAGTTGACGGGCATTTTTCCAAGGGTCTCTGCGAGCCATGCGACGAGTTACCTGACGCGGCAACGCGGAACGCTCCTCCCACTTGTGACAGCGTCGGCCACCCCACATGGACGTAATTCGGAGGCTCTCCTCCCTCCCTCCTCCCTTTGTGGGACGATGACAGACAGTGATGTCTACTCCGCCGGAGAGAGGGTCAAGGCCCAGTTCAAATACCCGCCCGTCGCCCCACGAAGACAGGGATTCCAATGGCTCTCCAAGCTCAAAGGTATCGTGAATTGAGTGCTCACTTTTACCGGCCCAACAGGTTTTCAGACTTTTTTCAGTGCCCTTCTCTTGACCATCACCCTCTTTTCCCGGGTCCTCGCTCTCCTTCTTATCCTCTGACAGTTTAGCCGCTTGTCTTTTGGATTTTTTCACACTTTCCAGTTGCCGATCCACCTCCTCCGGGGATTGCTCTACCTCTTGTAATTCCTTTTTCGCTTGGAGACCGGATTGTCGCTGCTTTTCGGAGGAAGCCGCATGCTCCTCTACATGAACATCACCAGTACATGTTGCCCATGTAGCGACTGTTTCCACCTTCAATATTTGTTTGCCAGGTCCAGAGGCATTAGCGCTCTCGACAAGTGTGTCAACGTCTAAATGTGCTCCCCGTTCATTTCCTCTATCGATTGTATTGATAACGGACTCCTGTAGCGACTTTACTTCGCTCACTCTTTCCCCTCCCCCTTCTCCGTCTGCCGATCCCAACGCTCTAGTCCTATCCCTTTTCTCGATTCCTTGAACGCCTGTTTCCACACAATTGACATCCACGTTTCTTGTTGCACTTTGCTCCACAGGTGTTGCGCTGATCGTTGTCCCAGCTTCCTCCTTCCCTGTCCTTTGGTCTTCTTCCTCTCCCTCTGGATCAGCAAGCCTAGGCATCTTCCTACTCTCGCCCACCAGCAATCCTCCGGGTAGTCTCGGAGGGGCTCGACCCATCTCTGTCGGCTTCCGAACGTGGAATCCTCCCGCCCGAGTCTGATGCCAGTGGGCCAAGAAAGCTCGTGGATGCGTGCTTTCGACCAATAAAGAAGTCATCCTCCCCAACTCTCGGGCCTGCGTTGAGCAATAAACCCTTTCACCCCACCCGTTGATAACAGCCGACCCGCTCTCCCAAGGCCCACTAAGCAGCCCTCGAAGCTCACTCTCGAGTTGCAGCAGCATATCTTTGATTTTTTCCAAATGCAAGGAGGCTGCCCGATCCTCCAATCGCGTCAGGTGCGCTACTTGCGGCAAGGGCTTGATGGCTCGGGCGACAGACCCTCCCACGTCCTGTTCATCTACCTCCATGTTCACCCGCACGGGGAAGGCGAAGCGAGGCCGCCAGCTTCCTTTCACTACCGGCATCAGCTTCCGAGGAGCGTCGGATGCTTCGCTGCTTCTGTACTTGTTCAGGTAAAGGAAGGGGTTGAAGGCAACGGCATCCGTCTCCGCCTCCGCACGTTCCAATGTTCGAGCACGATGAAGATAAGGGTTGCTTTCCGCAAGAAAATCATCGGGATCACTGAAGACATCGAATTGCCCTCCCCCTAGGCTTTCAATTTGCTCCTCCTCTCTTTCCTTGTTCCCTTCACCGCCCCCCTTCCTAGTTGCTCGCTGCTTCTTTGTTCCGACTGCACCATCCTCATCCTCCCCGCTGCTTACCAACCCGTCTGACCCGAAATCACTGTCATCGTGATCCTCGAGCCAACTCTCCGCGTCCTCCTCGTTATCCTCCTCTGACTCGCTCTCTCCTTCCATCGCGCTGTGCACCTCACTTTCCTCTTCGGATGACACAGAAATGCTCCGGCGGCGTCGGGATGAGGCCGGCTTTCTCCGCAATGCACCACCTCTTCCCCTGCTACTCTGCCGGCCACCGGTGCGTGCAGTCTTCGCGCCCTTTTTTGAAGCCCGTATCCTACGAAGAGCTTCGTGGCTCTCGTACCTTCCTCGACGTCCCTCGACAGAGGCGAAACCCACTCCATCTTCTGTGTCCGAGCCGGAGACCATGGCTTTTGCGCTTTTGCTCGACCCTCTTCTCCCCATCCTAAGTCTCTTCTTTCCACGGGCCACCTTCCGGTCCCTGCTCGTTGCTCGACGGGCTTTCCGCCTCAGCCTGGCAGAGGCCCCGTCCGTCCCTTTCTGACCAGCCTCGCCCGCCGTGTCATCGTACTCCCCGTAAAATTTCGGCTTCCGAATTCGCCGAGCGGACCGGCTTGTAGTCCAACCCCCATCCATCTGTCCCTTCGCTTCTTCGGGGGCTGATCCTGCGCATACCTTGTCCTGGCGCTCATCTTGGCCCTCCGCAATCTGCTCTGCGGCTAACTCTACTAGCCCGCGCCCTTTTTTCGCCAGATGTCTCTTATTATCTTTCCTCTCACTTTGACCGGCCTCAGTCTTTCGGGGACGCCCTCTCCCCCGCTTCTCTTTCGCCAGCCCGGCTGGCGATGGGGCTGACGCCTTCCGAGCTCTCACCATGGTGCCATTCCCATGCGATGAATTTCCTGTGACCGCCTGCACATTTCTTTCGTCGACCTGATTCTCTTCTTGATCTAGCATTTGCGCTTGTATGCCCTTCCTCGGGGCTTCGATTCTCCCGTCCTCCCCCTGGCTGCCCTTGGGAGGTCGGCCCCGCTTCCGCTTGCGAGGCTGCCCACTGCCCTCATCACGCTTGCCACTGTGCCCTTCTGCGC